GTTTGCTGCACAAACATTCCATTCAGAACTACTTTGAGTATTTAATTTTCTTAAAATACACTGGTGAAATAGGATAAAACACGCGCAATTTAGCAACACAGTGGCACTTTATAACAGAATTTGCGCTGGGATTGATCAATCTATTTTCATTTTTTCTTTATTTACGAGAAACGAATCACGTTCTACATTGAATGTCCGTGCTGAATGTCCGAAAAAACCAACTCACCGGAATTTGACAGTGAACATGCACTGTCCATTTGTGCACTTGATTGTTCCTGCTTGCTGAGTTCTGTCAGGCGCTTCACCACATCCCCGGCACTGTCCATTGTGTACGTGTGATGACTTGAATTGCTTCGTTGGCTTTCACTACTAGACTGGTCTGGTTGAGAATCGTACGGTGAAGACAGACCCCCTAGGGTTGACGGCATACTTCCCTGATAGCTCATTTCATCCTCATCTTCATCCGACGAATGTTGACTCAACTCGCTCAGGCCTCTCGCAGCACTGCGTAATAGTTCGGCGTGTTCGGCCATATTTACCGGCTGGGCGGAATCAAACTGCCTCTGAACTCGAGATAATTTTGGAATCAAACCAGCCTGTTTGCAATGGGTACAAATGTTTTTACGATGAAGGCGATCAGTCAAACAAGTGAAACAGTAGTAAACCTCGTGATTATCAGTACGAGTCAGTGACGATTTGCTGTGATTGTTATACCGATTAGGATATGTGCCTCTGTCAACCCGGCCGCGGCGATCTGTTCCTTTAAGTCCGAAAGGGCGTGATATTCGACCACTTTCACCTCGGCGATGTTCGAGGCGATGCTCCTCTATCACACCCGATAAAGCTGGAAGGTAATATGATGAAAAACAAGATTTATTCAGGCGAAGGTTCTAATAACTGAACAAAGACCGTGCTGGAGGGAAACGAAACTTGATATCGGTTCCAGTTATACTAAATCGTTCTATTGACGTATGAAGGGTAACGATTTGCTTTATTGAGAGCGATAATTTCACATAAAATTTAACTAAAAAACAGCCTCAACTTACAAGGAACCGTAAAATAATGGGAGGTGGATATTTTATAAATTACTGAACTTGTGTGTTAGAGCACAACAAATTGACTTTTTGTTAAACTAAATTGAAATTTCCTAATTAATTCCCTTCACATTTAATTTCTGATTATTTTGGATTAAAGTTTGCAAATACTATAGTTATTTGTGATGAAGCTAACCCATCCCAATAAAGAGGGCAGCAAACCTGTCGCACCTCAAGATCATTCTTGGATGAGCAAACTGGCTCTGGGAAGTCATTTCAGTTTATGTGTAATACGACTCCAAGACAGTGTACTTTTATTTTTGAGTATCATCATTGCATCCTTGTCAAAACTGTGATCATGCAGGGTTGTTCGTACTGTTTGATGGTTGATACCATAGTTACAACAGAAAGAAGTTAGAAGTGCAATCTGTAAGTTCAAATGGAGTTTGGTGGTTTCATCGTTTATAGAAAGTCTGAAATCATTTCTATTCCACTAATTTCAACATTGCGCGAATAGTCAAAAGAGACTGTAGTAAAAAGAAGAAAATCAGGAATGACACTCCAAAAGAGAATGTTTATTTCTGTGTGTGACTATAGATTAAATGCTTCAGACATGAGGTGTTTTCTAGTATATTGTATGATTTACTTTGAATCACACATAATTCGTTATCATTATAACCAATATGTATAATAAAAGTTAACACATTAATGTTTATGGGCAATACGGTATGAGCTTTCCCAACCTCTCAAGGTAAGAGCCAAATCGCAAAGAGCTTCAAGATGGTTATTTGATTGTAATGTATCGTCACGTGAAGCACTCAATCAATAGCAGTCGTAGGCTCATCACGTGGTATTTATCATTAAAGCGCAAAACTATCGGGCACTCACGCTTTAGATAGCGGAGCTGACTGAAGTACTTTAATTCCGTGGATTATTTTCCCACTTCTACGTTTACCTTGATCATAATGCGAAGTATACAGAGTTTTGCCTACGTAATTCTGGCGTTCTTCGTGGGAGAAAAATTGATTTTACATCGAGATTGATAGACCTCCGTCGAAATAACCGAACTTTCCTCATTATTAACAAATTCAAAGTCCTGTCATTTGCGAAACCCTGAATGAAAGAAATAAGAGCCGCTGATGGTTTATTATTTGACTAATGATAGAAAATCATATGCAAACGAAAAACTAAAAAACGTTCCTAAAAATAATGTCTTTTTGTCTGAGAAATTTTGATGTAATCACTCGCAGCCTAATAATTCACTCACAAGTATTATGTCGAAGGTTTATCGTTTTACTCAAATAAAATTGATAAAACCAAACCGTTTTAACCTTGTACTCACTTTCAGTTAGACGCGTACTAATTATAATTGTCAAAATATTTATATTTATTTAGAATTTATTCATCAGAAGGAATAAACATTCTGAAAATGCTCAGATCATTAGTTCAGCACTACATAAACCTGAACATTTATTGATAGTTCGTTGGAATAAATGGCGAATTTTCGCAATTTGCACTATCTACTTGTGCATCGAGCTAACAAAATGAAAACCCATCGGTTCACTAAGTGAATAGTGGGTGTGATTTACCAACAATTTTCGGTTACAGACTAACAAATCTAACCGTCTTGGAGAATTTACCTTGAACAGTTTCCAAAAACATACTTCGGGGTTTGAAAATTCCATGTATATGCTTTGATAGTCAAATTTATTCAATACATTGACTCATATGATGTAGTACTTTTTATTAAGTAATTTTAAATACACATCAAACGTAATTTTTAAACAAATCACCGTGATTACTTTTACTAAATCATATAATTAATGGCCCTGATTTTACTTCGACGCTGATAAGCATGACTGCAACTGAAACTGAAACTGAATACGTTTTCTAGATTTCAGTTATAACCGTTCTTCCAAATGTTAAGAACGCATTAAGGCATTGGGTATTATTATGGTTACATGCCACACAAGCTTTCCAGTGATTGCTGTTTATATGATAGCAATAAAAACAGTGAACAAGTGAACAAGCATAATTCCCCACAAATATTACATTCCGGGTATTCAATATTATTCATTTTCAATAAATGTTCAAATAAGAAGTATTGGTAAATGTTTCTAAGACCCTAACTAGGTGACAAACTCCTTGCACTTAAGTCCAGGCAACAACATTTTGCTGGGATGCATAACTTAGGATGAATGAGCAAAAATACTTGTGTTATTAAGTTAGGGCAACATTCGAGAGTAATCAAAACGTAGATTTGGTTCTGAAATGCGAATAGCGTTGTTTGGTTTGTGTCACAGTAGCTTATTTCATGAATCTAACAATAAAACCGAAGTAGTTACCAAACTGTTTGATAACTTATTGGCTTCTTAATCGTATGAAGAATCAGAGGGGAAAATGTAGCCATGGGGGCAGTATAACGGTGAAGGAAGCGAATCCGGGTAAACCAAAACAGCAAATAATTTAGGTAGGTACAATAGTGCCGTTTTTTAAGACTCCCATTCTTGCCATTCTGTGTCTCTAACCATCGACGGCACTGATCTCGGGGTTCACGGACAACAGGCCTAACGAAACCCCTGTGATCGAGTTCCCTCGTTATCATTATCACAACCTGATTTCAGGTATCAGTTTGACGCTCTCTGACTTTTTCACCCACTATTAACTTAGGAAAACATCGGGTACTGAGAAAACCTCTCACGTTTCACGCCAATAACAGTTTAATCTGTGCACATTTGGTCCTCCCTTCGAAATGCGTCCTGAATTGCAAAAAGCTCCGTTTCTTACCTCGGTGGTATTTGTCCGAATGGCCTGCCCGGCTCAAACGACATGGGCAGAGAGGAGTGTTTGAGCACCGAAAGTTTACTTTTGTCCTTTTTCCTTAAAGGTGAAGCCTACATCATTCAGCAGCACCGCTCAGAATGCTGCTTGTTTCGATTAAAATGTCTTGGAAAAGTGAACGCGGCTGCTGCATTATTGCACCTCAAATTGGAAAACGCCAGTTTAGTGTATGCGTGCATCTGCTTCATCTTTGATATGCACATCAAGCGACACGAAAACTTACTGATATCTGACTTTTTCTTCTTTCTCTAGTGCATCCTTAGTTATTCGCCGTGGTAGCTGAAAATAATCAACCCTTTATCGTTTTCCACCATAAAGTTGTAAAAACCACAGTTATTTTTAAACTTTAATTATGGGAACTAGATAGAAACTCATGCTTCTGATGTCTCCGAAGAACATTTACACAATTAAACTATTTTACGGCAAAAAGTGATAAATGTCGGGTATAGTTCCGGGTAGGAAATAACACGTAATGTAGTTTTCAATTAATTTACTTTCTTGCTTGTGTAGGATGTAAAGGGTTTTATCAAGTTTCCGCTTGAAAGATTCAACAGTTGGCGCAGAAAAGAAGTGAAATGGGCTGATGTTCCAAAAGGTGCACACTAAGACGGGAAACATGGATGCCGTCATTCCAGTGGACAGTTACCAAGCAGTAACTGAAAAAATTGTCCCCTGTGGTGGGTTTTGAGTAACAGCGTTTGAAGCGAACGACATGGATGGTCTCGGTTCTGCACTATTTCATATGCCAATATCGAGCCTTCCCGAACACCGTGATAATCAGTAAAACCCTAACGATTGTAATCTGACCCAGTAGATAATGCAGTACAATGCTTGTAGAAAATATCCACCTGGTCACTCAAGCAATCCATAAAAGTTTACAACTAACCCGGGTTTTCTCTAGGAAGCAAAATGTTACCTCTATACTACAGACCAGGTAGCCTGCCAGCTGGGAGTATAAGGGTGTTCCTTTCCTCGCATAGGGAGGTGGTGGTCCGATAGTAAAGTCACTAACTTATCACTCCGAGGATATATTCGAATCCCACCACCACCGCCTGACTTTCCCCATTGTTTGTTGTATGGCAGCCCTTTGATTCGCCGCTTCCCCTTCCTGAAATTTGCATCTTTGTGTGTTCAATAAAACGAAGTAAAAAGAAAAAAATTAAAAAAAGAAGCATGAAGTTAAATAAAGGAGAGAAAGATAACTCTGGCATCTATGCGGTTTTTGCTATTGACACAGAGAGAGCATAAAATTGCTACAAAATTTGATAACACTTCATTAAGGTCCACCTGGGGGAGGCAGGTGTTCCTACATTCCATTAAAGCACAGCCAGCATCAAATGCTACTGTGGTCGATTAAGTCGAAGGCTGCATCAAGATCGAGTGGAACAGAAATCGCAATTCTACGAAAAGAAGTGTTTTCCAGAATAGGACGAATGGTAAAAATATAATTGATGCGATCTTGATAAAGTCTGAAACCAGCCTTGGTCATAGGAGTAATATGATTGATGTACATCTTTTAGATGGAACCATTCTTTTTACCGATACCACCCGGAAATTTCGTCCGCCTGAAGATCCAAGCCAAACAATCATATTCAAAATTCGATTCGAAAGTTTTATATGGGCCAGAAGCTTTTTTCTTTTGAAAATAACTGACTTTCACTGTAAATATCAGTTTGTATTTAGGACTGCTGTGAACTAGCAGAAGTTTCTCAGTTGATTTTTTTGTTGAATCCAATGTTATTAGGGGTCGACCAAACTGTGCCCTCAGGTGTTCTGCCAATTGCTCAAGATGGCGCTGCTTTATGCAATCCGTAACCACCTCACGCCGAAGTTCAGAGTAACCGTCTTCATAATTAAATTGTCAAATCAAGCCAAGAAACCGCTGAAACCCTCCTCAATTATCTGCGTTTTGCTAACCATCAAATTTTGAGGTTATTCCTTAGGGTTTTGATGAGCTTGTGCCTAAGTTGTTACTACGTAGAGTTGCACACAGTGTCCGAGGGAATGGGAATTCGAACGACAAGCGATGCCGTAGTATTTAGCTCATGTGCCGGAATCCTCTGTTGCTTTGAATGGTATTTCAGAAGCTTCTTTGGTTAACTTCCAATTTTCAGTGAGTCCTTTGACGGACAGCTGAACTAAAAGGAGTGCTCCGCTTTGAAGGCCAATTTGTAGTTATTGACTACACTGAACCGTGCGCATTCAATTATGATATCCTTGTTGTAATTATTCATCAAACCTCACAAAATCTGACTCGTCAGAACATGATCCATATAGACGAGTGTTGACTGTTGCGATTTGCAGTCTGGATCCCCGCCAGCATTAGCTGATTGCAATGCATTGATCGGTGTCCATCACTGCGAATTTTTGAAGGTTTCCTATGTAATTTGGTTTCGTTTATCAAGTGAGACGTTAGTGCCTAATATAAAAATACTGTTTTGGGTAGCATTGGAGTAAGCGACCTCCACTGTCTATTATTCGGTTGGCTGCAATTTCAATGGACATCTGAGGCCCATTTCAGAACAAAGTGAATATCTTCAAAATCATACATAATACACCCAGGAGATATTGTGAATGAATTAGGTGCCTTACATTCGCAGCTGAAATGGCCGTTATTCACATTTACACTTCTTAATTGTAAAAGTGAAAGAAATTACTTCAGACTCTGCTGTAATTCCGACCCGACCACCGAGTAATTGCACACAGATTAGAGCTTTGAGCCCCTATATAACTTCGTTCACAACATTCTCCAACGCTTAATTACCTTCCTTTTCTTCCTTCATTCACTTTTCGTGATTACATAACCTGCCATGCTAGTTCCCAACGCATCAGGAACAACAGTATTCCTTTCCCTCATCGACGTTTTATTGAGTTCACCTCGACTCTTCACGGCTATTTCATTTGAACTTCGACTTAAATCCCCCTATGACTCTAGTATTGACTACCAATCGCTAGTATTATTCAAATCGCTCGCTCACTTCTGCTATCGTTACCAACTTAGCTCTAATTGGTTAACCATATGTCTTTGCCATTATTGGCTTGTATAGTTAACCATATGAAGAGAACGACCAAACTCGAGTTTCTTCGAGAATACCTTCTCTTCCGGTATACTGGGTAAATAATTTCGAAATTTTCGTTACAGACTTGATGCGCCGTTTCTGTGCTGTGGGCTACACTTGCGCTTGTTACTGTTGTCACACATTCAATGATTAGCAAGGTTGGTTTGGGTTCATTGATTTGTTGTGAGAAGCACCTAATCATTCCATCTACCTAACTGGCTGGGCAAAAGAAACCCAATAAATAGTTAAGAACGGATGACGTGTGGACGGGCAATTTGTCCGATTATTTTTAAATGTGAACGTTGCCTTTTGATTAACCGGTCGATAAATGCCGGTATCCCTCGTTTCTAGTTGTCATTTATGTCGTCCTTTGCTCCCATTGCGTTTAAGAACAACTCTTCTCTTTCAGTGGCAATGGTTTCAGTGATGGCGGTCTTTCTATAACGTTCAAAATATCCGTTGTTTTGGACTGCGTACTCGAAGAAACCATTATTCGTTTCAGATGCACTACAAGAGATCGGTGCCTAAACATGGACGCGATGAATAAGCGAAGCGGCTTTGTTCTACTTCAGTTGACCCATACTTTTTATTTCGTATCAAAGAAGGGTTTCTCTTCGGGAACACTAACTTGAGACCTTGACTCAGAAGCCTGATTCACAAGGTAATAGGTTGTAGATCCAACGCGGCGCCATGAGTAAAAAGGCTTCTAGGAGCTTCCACAGACCTGTCATTCAAGACCTTCGGGTTTTGCTTGATGTTTTT